CTTTTTACTGACCTTCAAATGTTAGCCGACTCATTTGATGGTTGCGCTTATCGTTAGTGCTTGTACAAGTTACAAATAGATCGAATATCCGAAACCATCCATTGATTTCGTAAAAATTGATCAAGATGTACCAACATAGTGCTTTGAAAATAAAAAAGAACTGAAAATGATCAAATTGATTCATTTTATTTACCGAAAAGTTTACCCAACAGACCCGATCCTTTTTGCACAACTCCACCAATTTGCGGGCATTTTTGCAAAGACCCTAAAGAAATTTTACTCAGAATACACGTCTTCTTCGACTGTTTGCATCCGGCACATTCGTCGCACAAATTCGTTAGGGCTGTGAGGTCATTGTTTGTCAATCTACCGATTGTAGTGGTATACTTAGCCATGGTGTTTCCGGTATCTGATAATTAAAAGGCAATAAAACAAAAAGGTGTACATTATTAATCAAACTTGCATAAGTACGCTACTGTCACAGATCACATTAACTGGTTCCCAAGCAAACTTCCGGGATATTTTCGTGATCTAGGACAGTCAAATTTACCGCCCGGTGCATGAAGAGAGAAAGGATGCTCTGTTCATTGGTCTAATGGGGACGGTTTGTGTTCAGCGTGATTGTCTGTTTGATAGAGTCATTGTGATTGCATTGTATTCAATAACGCATATTCGAACAGTGAAGCATATGAGTGCAGTTGGTGGCAATTCAAATCACTTACCACACTTTTGTTGTTTGAGAGTTTTGAAAACACAGTCGGATAGAATTTCACTCGTAAGCAAACCACACGATTTGAGACCATCCAGGGGGATATCGTCTAGTAGATTAGTCAGTGAATGAGCGGGAAGACAAAACAGTGCTGATAGCACAATGAGTCGCATGTAAGCTGCCTGAAAAGTGGAACCAGAGAGGAGAATATTTCGAAACAAATGGACACCTCACTTGCATCGTCTTTGCGATCTGCACAAAATGAATGCTAATCTTTTTCGGTACGCTTGATTACTTCTGTATTTATGCGCTTACATTTATATCCCCATAAATGCGCAGGACATCTTGGGTTTCTGTGTGAAAATCTTTTGTGTGTGTGTAGGTATGAATCACAGCTAATCAGTTTTATTCCTTTCCGGATGATCTGTTTCTTTTGTCATGAATTCGACTCAGTCCAGTGGTCCATTTCAACATTATTTGCACCTATTCAGTAGTATGATTCATAGGACAATCTGAGGAGGAGCGGAGTGACTATGACATGTCTGAACACGATTTTCGGGACTGCTCAAGCCAAACTCAGCTTCCTCGTACCACGTAACCTCGGAGGACCTGAGGACTGAGGACAAGTGAATACGAGACCTTTCGGATAGATAAAACGAACCATTGACAAAATCGAACCGCGGACCGCCAGCACCACAGTACGGATAGTTGAGACCAAAATTAGTTTTTCATACATAATGTCCCCTTAAAAGGGTCCTTCCGAGACACTACTCACCTTAAACAATTTTTACTGCAATGACAATTAGTCAGAGGTATTTGATGACTCAGGAAAACCTGTCTGAAAGAACTTCACAAAAGGCAAACAACTGTGGTCTAGATATAAAACTTATCCCGTTGTTGGCACGCAGTTGTTTTGTTTTTGGCAATGCCTAGTATTGTTTTGTCAGTTTGCTGATTGAAACCGTAAACCAAGCTCACACGAACTCTCAATCTCTGCAACCTACCCGCAATGCTTGTTCGCGTTCAACGGCTAGCCTCAAAGCTGAGACCATGGCATCATGTGTGTATGGTTCAGCATGAAGCCTTATTCACCGACACTGAGCCATAATCATTTTGCTGCCGCCTTTTGACGCGCCTTCCGGACTTGCACGCCAGAGCTTGCTCTCAATCTCTGTTTCCTCTTCTCCAAATGGCCTCCAAGTACCGTGCTTTCTATTGTGCTGTATTGTATTGTGTATAACTTTTGCAAGCACTAGAGCTCACATTTCAGTTAAAAAATCATACACGCTATCCGTCACAATGTACATAATCAACGGGGAGAAAACTTTTCACAGGCATGGGGACATTCGTAATCCAAGGTTAAGACAAAGTTCACTTATTGTTCGCTCTTTGTTTGTGAGTAGAGGGGCAAGATACGGTATAGGTGAATTGCGGTATGCATTTATTCCAGATGAAATTTGGCGGAATCGGGAGCGTGTTGAATAATGGGAATGACAAAGTGTCAGTTCTGCATGCAATGGGTGGTCCGGATCTGTGAGAATCCTCTCGGCAAATTTCACACAGGAAGTTACGTGATACTCGGAAAGCTTTATAGCTAATTCATTCACAGGAATGGAAGAGACACGACTAATAATGGTTAGACCGCGTCGTAAGACTTTGAAGTCCTGTTTGAGTAAACCAGGGAAAATAACCGGGGAACAGTAGAGTAAGATGGGGAAAACACATTGATAAACAAAAGTAGAAATAACTGACTGGGATAAGATGTTCAAGAGGAAGCTCGACAGCGTCCTGCGAACAATGTGGTATGCAGATCTATCATGAATGAGATCTTCGAGTCTGTGGTGATGAGGCTCATACGGGAAATTACCCTCTGCCTCTAATTGAAGAACATTGAACATTGAACACATACGCGAAACTGCCTGAGCTTTTGTATTTGAAATGAAAGGCGTCGCAGTGTACCAATGCAGTTGTGGATGTGGGTTGACCAATGAAGATTACTATCTATGGTTGCACCAAGATATTTGACAGAGGTCACCCTGGATAAAGGATTGTTATTAATCACTGTGGGGGTCCGTCGGATATGGAGAGCTGGCAAAACACGATCGCCTGCGACGAAGTCCAGGTTGCACCGGGAATAAACATATTTTCCAAGTGACTCATCCCATTTGCTGCAACAAAAGATTCCATAACTTTGGTTAACACGGATAGAAGAGTAACGGGTCTGTAGTGATCTTGGTCACTTAGACAGCCACCTTTGTATATTGGCGAAATTATTCCTTGCTTCCATGTTTGTAGTTGCACAGTTTTGTCGAACATATGTTGGAACAATTCACTTAATGATTGAGCTATGTTACTTACCAGGTTGATAAGGGTATGCGGATAGATGTTATCTATCCCCGGAGATGTGATACATGGTTTACAACAGTGTCTCGTTGACTGAGTCTGTCAGTGATTGATAGTAGTAATACACATCGATCAAGCCGATTTTGCGTTGTCACAGTCACAACGTGAGTTAGGAGCCACAGCAAGATAATCAATTACCTCGCATTGTAGTTTGGTGCTAAACAACAGTAAGACATTACCACCCCTGAGCAGAGTAATGCCGGGTAAGCGTAATTTGATTCCAGAATTTCGGTTGTCAGTCAAGCTTCGGTAACTGCAATGTCACATTGACCTGTTTGGTAACGCAGTTCCACCACTGAAAGTTTGCTGAGGAAACCTTAGGAATTGGTGTAGAAACAATGCAATTGATAGCGGAGCAGAAACTCCGGGTGCGAAGGGTTAGTTGAGCTGGCCGTATCGTGATCGGTTAGAGGAAGCATTCTGGGATGACAGTTTGCTAAGTCTGGTCCACCGGCTGGGGGAAGGGACATAAGGTTTGTGGTAATCCAGCTTGCGTGGGGGCGATATTTTCTGCCAGAGTACCACTTTTTGGTTCTGGTTTCTCTCCATGGGTCTCAAGCGCAGTTCTGGTAATCCCTTGTTCTGATTATCTTACCACGACTTTTAGACAGCCGTAGCCGCTTCTATTGTTCCCAAAGTTATTTCATTATCATTTGGCCGTCTCTGTGATGGTTTGGAGAACAGAGGAGACAGTTGATTGATGTAGACGATATCTGAGGAGGTCTTGAATGGACCATCACTCTTTGCAGTCATTTTGATGTGTGTGTGTCATTCAATTGCGGTACTCCATGTATAAGAATCACTCGTGCATTATCTGTTTCTCGTCCATTAGCGGGGCTAATCTGTCGGTACATGTGCTCGCGCCATGGTCTGTTTGTTTTACTTGAACTCCGAAGGAGAAAGCTGGGAAGAAAAACGT